AGGATTGCTTGAGCCCAGGAGTTTGAGGTTGCTGTGAGCTAGGCTGATGCCATGGCACTCACTCTAGCCCGGGCAACAAAGCGAGACTCTGTCTCGGAAAAAAAAAAAAAGAAACTTCAAGAATAACTTTCATTAATGAACCTGAGATTATAATACTCAATAATTGTAGCAGCTAACATTTATTAAGGTTTTATTATGTACCCTGCTATGTATTAGCACTTATTTAATACTCACAAAAACCCCTATGAAGTAGGTCTCATGGTTGTTTTGTACAGAGGCTTAGAAGGTGAAATGATGCCCTAGGAAATAGCAGAGCCAGAATTGAACCAGGTTAATGTCATCTCACTTTCTTAACCAAGTTCTGCACACATTCTATTGACTCTGTCTTGGAAGAACAAAGATTTATTTGAAAATCAGCTATTAGCTATGACACTAGGAAAATGTTAACTGTTATAAGACAGAGTGATTATTATCATCAGTGACTCTTTACTAAGTTAATGTTTACTGAACTGAGATCAAAACAATATTCATATGATCCTAATGTTGGAATAAGAATATATTACATGTATACATTTGTAACATAGGTACACATATATATTATACTTAGCTATCCATACATACATGGTTTGCCTTATTTGGTGGAAATACATAACTTTGTATTAAAATAATGTTTTAAATTGCTGGTGAAGTTTCTTCATTTATAGCACAAGAATGGCTTCAATGTTCCAGTCAAGACTGATATTAAAAAATCTTTAATTTTATAAATATTCAGATCTTTTACACTATTGTATGCTCCTTCCCTGTTTAATATTCTAAAAGAAAAATCAATTTCGATATATTTTCTCCAGTATTCAATCATTCAGTAGATATTATTGGGAACCTACTATGCGCCGTGCATGATCTAGACACTCGGGATATGTCAATGAGAGAAACAAAGATCCCTGCCCTCGAGGACTTACACTCCAGGCAAGGGAGACAGACAACGAACACAGTGAATAGTGAATTTTATGTTAGCAGGTGGTGAATGTTATGGTATAAAGGAAAGGAACCAGGTAATAGGGACCAGGAGTACAGGTTCCAGTCATGTGTTCAGGGCAGGCCTCTTGAGAAGGAAAGGAGACGAGGGAGTGAGCCAAGCAATGATGTAGGGGGAGAGCATTCTGGGCAGAGGGAGCAGCAGTGCAAATTCCCTGAGGTCAGAGCATTGGATGGTGGTGGAGCGAGAGGCAGAGTGGGAGGAATGAGTGAAATGCAGCTTTTGGAAGGTCGTGCTCTGACATAGATTTTAAATCCTAATGTCTATAAAGAAAAAAAAAAAACAAAAAGAAAAAAATGTCTTCAAAACAATGTTGCACAAAAAAAAAAAAATTCTAATGTCTAAGCATCCTGATTTTCAAGACAGAATCCTATTACTGTATATTACTTTAATTTCAAAGTTGGGTATTTGGTGGGTTATTTGGACAAAATGTTACTCTACTTATCTATATATCTACATACTATGTTTGTGATGAGAAAAGACAGTAAACTTATTTTCTTTTTTAGATATAAAGTCATGAAGAACTGGGGAGTTCTGGGTGGAATTGCCGCTGCTCTTGCAGCAGGAATATACGTTATTTGGGGTCCCATTACAGAAAGAAAGAAGCGTAGAAAAGGTAAGAATGCGGCCACTGTGTCATGGTCCGTAGATGTAATGCAGAACCCTGTTATCTGAAAACAGTACAAAAAGGGAGGGGAGTGGTCATTTTTTTGTTCTCTTGTATCTTTAAAATGAAGACTTCAGTTTTTGAAGCAGGACTTTCACATCAACTCAGTATTATACACCCTGGAGTAAAAACATTTCTATTTCAGCCCCTCTTCAGACTTGAGCTGGAGGCATGCTTTGTAATGAAAAATTTCAAGGGGCTTAATTGTCTCAGTGTTCTCATTAATATGGCAATTGTGTTTTTCAGTAGTACAGCTGACTAATTATGTCATGCATTTGTGTTCTCTCAAACTAGATTGCTAGTAACTGGTAAAAATTTCAAGTTAGTTTCTTCATTAATAAAAAATCTATTTCCTTTTTTTTTAAATGCCCCTTTTGTAAATGTTGCACTACTTAACATTGATCAAATTCAGCAAAGAA